TTCTGTCCATCCTTCTCTGTCGAGCACTTGTACCCTATAGCAAAAACTAAAATTAAAAAAAGATAATACCAATGTTGGCCTTATTTGCTACTGTGTTCCTAATACCTAGTATTGACTGATAGATAGCAAGCACAAAAGTATTAATTAAAAGCATTAGTGAACCCACATACACACACGATCAACAGATTTCAACAAAAGAACATACAAAAGAATGGAGTTTGCTTATGATGGTTTTTTGTTCACTTATAATTTTATTATATTATTGTTATAGAGATTGCCTTAGCTTTTTTTTATTAACTACAGTTTTGGTGTCATTAAATCATAGTTTTTCATAAGAGAAGTCTCTCTACTTAATACTGTAAAATAAAGAGAACACTGATTTTTATTAATAGGCTACAAAAGAGAGCATGTATACTTTAAAAAAACAGTAACATATGTCAGCCAGAACATAATACTGTATGTGACTTAGAAATATTCTTTTCCTTCCAGCATCTATATAAATAAAGTTGCAGAGGGACAAAACAAAACAAAAAAACTTAGATGACAGAAAGTAGCTTAAGTACTTTGCTTTCTTTTTATGGAGCTTCTAGTTACTACCGGTATGCGAGAAAAATTAATTGTCGTTTTGGCTTTCCAAGCTTTCTTAAAGTACTTAAAAATGGACTGCAGACTGGAGGATGGGGCCAAGCTGTACTTTTCTGTACCAGCAGAAACCTTAGGAAACTCCTTCAAAACAGTTGCTGTGGCTTTATCCAAAGGCTTAGGACTTGTCACCCATTCTCGGCAGTGCTGCTTTATCCATGCTAGTAAGTGTACGTCACTTCCCAGCTGGTGTCCTATGTGATGTTTTGAGTCAATCAGTGCAACAGCATATACTTTGCTCATCACTTCCCATTTTCTACGAACAAGCAAGTCCATAAAAACCAAACCTCCATAACCATGTACTATGAAGGCAACGTCTTTGCCTTCAACCTTTGAGATGAAGTAATCCCAAACATAAGCCATGTGTTCTTCAGGAGTGTTGCTGCATCTTTTGGCAATGTACTGGGAAGGATGTTGGAGAGAGAGAAAGCTCTCAGATTGAACCATTTTTAAGGAAGAGGAATCAGTATTTTGTTTTAAAAGGCCTTTCCACTCTTTTTCTATTTTTAGGTCCACGAAATTGTCATTGGGGTTTAATACAATTACATCATAATGTGCCTGCAATGCCATCTGAATACAGGGTATTTGACTCCCTTGATGGAGGCCATGATGTATTATAGCCTGCTGGCTCCATTGACCAGCTCGAAGGACTCCATGATCTTGAAGAAGGACAAGAAGATTAGAATGTTCACTGGTTAATGCTCTCTCACTCATGAAGAAGCAGCTCCTTGGTTCTTTATCAGCCTCAATTGGTAAATATATTTTCTGTAATTTGCACACTTTCTCCAAAAGCTCATAAACATATTGTTCAAGAAAATGGCCAAGGGCCTGGTAGCGCTTGCTATTTCTTTCAAGGACATTTTTATAATAGTTAAAAACAAAAGGCCTTTGTGTCTCTGTGTGTCTCAATTCGGCTTTTTCATTGAAGCTATATTTAAGTTCTTCTGGTAAGTGAGACTGTTGAATTAATTTTTGGAAGCTCAGTTCCTGAGTCATTGGTAACTGCTGAAAGTAAAAAGAGAAACAACATCAGTGCTACAAAAACCAAAAGTTTTAACTTACTGAATTCTTTATTTTTAATTTTTTTTGAAGAGGTTTTTTGTTTTGCTATAGGGCACGTGCGCTCGCCAGACAGACAGAGAGAGACAGAGAGACAGAAAGTGGAAAATCACCCCCCAGGGGGGATGGCCATGCCGCAATCCCCTCTCTTCCATTCTCCTCTCGGGATCTCAGGCACGCACGCACGCACATGCGTCCGGCGTGAGTCTAAGCCACTGGATCCGGGACGCGAACCATGGTCGACTAGTGCGAGTCCAGCGACATAGCCATTACGCTAACTGCTGGTCCCCCGAATTCTTACTGTGGAGAGCCAGCTGGTGGCTGGTATTCGTGTAATGTTTATGGCAGCTAGGTCCTGCATGACTGACTGCATGCTTTGAGTCCTGGACCCAACAATTTCATAAACATACTGGGTGCATGTGTGTACATGCCCAAAATCCCAAAAGGAGAAATGGAGGAGATGGAATTGGGGCATGACCAAACCTCATTGGAGGTGCCTTTTCACTTTCCTTCTTGGTCTCTCTCCGACAAACATACATATCCTCCAGTGAATGTTTTGAAAGAATTATTTACTTAATTTTACTTATTTATTCATTTTATTTTAATTTGACCAGAGAGAGACAAGGAAAGTGAGAAAGCAAGCCACTAGGTCTGGGACTTGAATCATGTATACTTTAAAAAAACAGTAACATATGTCAGCCAGAACATAATACTGTATGTGACTTAGAAATATTCTTTTCCTTCCAGCATCTATATAAATAAAGTTGCAGAGGGACAAAACAAAACAAAAAAACTTAGATGACAGAAAGTAGCTTAAGTACTTTGCTTTCTTTTTATGGAGCTTCTAGTTACTACCGGTATGCGAGAAAAATTAATTGTCGTTTTGGCTTTCCAAGCTTTCTTAAAGTACTTAAAAATGGACTGCAGACTGGAGGATGGGGCCAAGCTGTACTTTTCTGTACCAGCAGAAACCTTAGGAAACTCCTTCAAAACAGTTGCTGTGGCTTTATCCAAAGGCTTAGGACTTGTCACCCATTCTCGGCAGTGCTGCTTTATCCATGCTAGTAAGTGTACGTCACTTCCCAGCTGGTGTCCTATGTGATGTTTTGAGTCAATCAGTGCAACAGCATATACTTTGCTCATCACTTCCCATTTTCTACGAACAAGCAAGTCCATAAAAACCAAACCTCCATAACCATGTACTATGAAGGCAACGTCTTTGCCTTCAACCTTTGAGATGAAGTAATCCCAAACATAAGCCATGTGTTCTTCAGGAGTGTTGCTGCATCTTTTGGCAATGTACTGGGAAGGATGTTGGAGAGAGAGAAAGCTCTCAGATTGAACCATTTTTAAGGAAGAGGAATCAGTATTTTGTTTTAAAAGGCCTTTCCACTCTTTTTCTATTTTTAGGTCCACGAAATTGTCATTGGGGTTTAATACAATTACATCATAATGTGCCTGCAATGCCATCTGAATACAGGGTATTTGACTCCCTTGATGGAGGCCATGATGTATTATAGCCTGCTGGCTCCATTGACCAGCTCGAAGGACTCCATGATCTTGAAGAAGGACAAGAAGATTAGAATGTTCACTGGTTAATGCTCTCTCACTCATGAAGAAGCAGCTCCTTGGTTCTTTATCAGCCTCAATTGGTAAATATATTTTCTGTAATTTGCACACTTTCTCCAAAAGCTCATAAACATATTGTTCAAGAAAATGGCCAAGGGCCTGGTAGCGCTTGCTATTTCTTTCAAGGACATTTTTATAATAGTTAAAAACAAAAGGCCTTTGTGTCTCTGTGTGTCTCAATTCGGCTTTTTCATTGAAGCTATATTTAAGTTCTTCTGGTAAGTGAGACTGTTGAATTAATTTTTGGAAGCTCAGTTCCTGAGTCATTGGTAACTGCTGAAAGTAAAAAGAGAAACAACATCAGTGCTACAAAAACCAAAAGTTTTAACTTACTGAATTCTTTATTTTTAATTTTTTTTGAAGAGGTTTTTTGTTTTGCTATAGGGCACGTGCGCTCGCCAGACAGACAGAGAGAGACAGAGAGACAGAAAGTGGAAAATCACCCCCCAGGGGGGATGGCCATGCCGCAATCCCCTCTCTTCCATTCTCCTCTCGGGATCTCAGGCACGCACGCACGCACATGCGTCCGGCGTGAGTCTAAGCCACTGGATCCGGGACGCGAACCATGGTCGACTAGTGCGAGTCCAGCGACATAGCCATTACGCTAACTGCTGGTCCCCCGAATTCTTACTGTGGAGAGCCAGCTGGTGGCTGGTATTCGTGTAATGTTTATGGCAGCTAGGTCCTGCATGACTGACTGCATGCTTTGAGTCCTGGACCCAACAATTTCATAAACATACTGGGTGCATGTGTGTACATGCCCAAAATCCCAAAAGGAGAAATGGAGGAGATGGAATTGGGGCATGACCAAACCTCATTGGAGGTGCCTTTTCACTTTCCTTCTTGGTCTCTCTCCGACAAACATACATATCCTCCAGTGAATGTTTTGAAAGAATTATTTACTTAATTTTACTTATTTATTCATTTTATTTTAATTTGACCAGAGAGAGACAAGGAAAGTGAGAAAGCAAGCCACTAGGTCTGGGACTTGAATCATGGTCAACCATGTGGGAGTGTCTAGTACCTTAACCACTATGCCACCTGTTGGCCTCCCTCTTGTGAATTTTTAAAAATTATTTTATTTTACTTTATTTATTTACTTATTTTAATTTGACCAGAAAGGGAGAGAGCGAGAGAGCGAGAGAGCGAGAGAGAGAGAGAGAGAGAGAGC